GGGGGGGAGGGGCAGCTATCAAGTACCTTGCGGAATTCTTGTGAAAAATACTTTAGATACAGATGAAATGCCAAGCACACACTTGGTTCATGGCACGTGCCATATATAGCCATGGTTCGATTTTTTTTTAAGTTTTTTTTTTTTAAAGATTTTTTATTTATTTATTTGAGAGAGAGAGAGAATGAGAGACAGAGAGCACGAGAGGGAAGAGGGCAGAGGGGGAAGCAGACCCCCCGCCGAGCAGGGAGCCCGATGTGAGACTTGATCCCGGGACTCCAGGATCATGACCTGAGCCGAAGGCAGTCGCTTAACCAACTGAGCCACCCAGGCGCCCCTTTTAAGTTTATTTATTTAGGTACTCTCCATGCCCAACGTGGGGCTCGAACTCACGACCCTGAGATCAAGAGTCACATGCTCTTTGGACTGAGACAGCCAGGCGCCCTAGAGCTATTATTTAAAAATTCTATCACATCATAAAACCCCTGGGGGCAGCGACAGTGCTTGGCACTGTAGCTAATCACCAAACATTAATGGAATGAATGAAACAATGAATGAATGGAATGGATGGACGAATGGAGGGAGTGAGGGAGGGAGGAGAGAAGGAAGGAAATGGATGGGTGGATGACAGAAGGGATGAATGGAATGGAGGGAGGGAGGCAGGAAGAAATGAATGGAATGGAATGGAATGAAGGCAGGCAGGCAGGCTAAAGGCTTAATTCTAGGGAAGCAGGTGCTGACCATTTCTTTCAGGAAGGGAGCTGCTACATCGAGGAGCAAATACTGAGTTCAGAAGGCTGCACTGGGGTAGCCCCAGGACACAGCCGGAGATCGGCTCAGAGAAACTTCTGCAAACTGCGTGCACAGCACAGCACTACATTTTAAAAAGCGGAATCCAGAAAGCTTCTGCTGTTTTTCTGATGAGAACATGCAGGTCCTGACTTGCATGCTTTCATACACCCCCAAGCCCCTCACCCCCGTTATGAGGAAGGGGCACATAAAACATCCCTCCGAGCCCAGAGGAGTGATGGCAGGCACAGCGTGGCGATCACTGGGTAGAGTGTGTGCGTGTGGGGAGGGGGGGCGGGCAATGGAACATTCTCCCGGCCGCGCATCCTCACTTCCCAGCGCGGGCTCTTTCCTCCTTCGCGCCCACAGACAACCCTGTCAGAGCAGAAGAACCAAAGACAGATCCCATGGCATAAGGCAAAAGCAGGCAGATTAACAAAACCAGCAGGGTTGGGTTTTTTTTTTTTTGGCATTTTGGCCCTTGTCTGTCCAAGACGTATTTGGAGAGAAGGTGGGGCGCTTCTGAGTTTGAGGATGGGGAGGACAGCAGACCCGCGGGCACAAACCGTCAGGCCCAGGGGAGCCTCCCCCGCCTGCTCAGCGGCCTCCTTCCCGCGTCCAGTTTCGGGCATTGATGAAGAGCTGGAGCCAGGGGGAGGCAGTCAGGGTGTCAAATGGGGGAGGTCGCCAAGCCCACTGCCACGGCCGCACGGCCCGCTCAGGGTGAGGCATGAGGGCCAGGTGGCGGCCATCAAGGGAGCAGACGCCTGCCACCCCCCCGGGGGACCCGTTGGGATTCATGGGGTACTGTTCCGTGGGCTGGCCAGCATCATCGGCCCAGTGCAGTGGGGCCAAGCCCCTGGCCTCAATCTGGGCTTGGCGTTCCGGAGAAGAAAATGCCATGTAACCTGCAGGGGGGCGGGGGGGGGGTGGAGGAGGGAAGTGAGGGCAAAGCTCCCCCACGCCCTCCACCCACGCCGGCCCCCAGACCCTCCCGCCGGCCTTCCGGAGCCTGACCTTCCCCGTGAGCGCTCCACACGGGCAGCACGGCGCCCTCCATCCCTCGCAGCATCAGGGCGGGCCCAGGCCCCACCCGCACGCTGGCCCAGCGGGACTCGAAGCGCCCGGACAGATTGTGACGCAGCACGAGGCCAGGTGGGGCGGGCCAGGGGTCCGGGCCCGGCTCCTCGGCCTCCTCGGCCTCCTCGCTGGGGCTGCCTCCCACCCAGCCCAGCAGAGCCAGCAGCTGACAGCCATTACACACGCCCAGGCTGAAGGTGTCCGGCCGCCGCCGGAAGCGCCTCAGCTCGGCCCCGGCCAGCGGGTGGAAGGTCACGGCAGCTGCCCACCCTAGGAGGAGACAGGGACGTCAGGGTGGGCCGGCATGGAGGGGGACGGCCGCCCTCCTGTGCCAGCCCGCCCGGTTCCACCTGCCATGAGCCCCCCAGCCCCCAACACACATGCACACACATACATACGTGCGCACACATACCCCCTACCGGGCAAGTACAAAGGGAAGAAACAGGTTTATCTGCTTAAATGTTGCCATTCCTGGACCAGAGATGGCCCGTAAGTTTTTTGGCTTGGCCAGCAGAGCATTTTCAACACTTTTTATTTAACTGTCTGACGTTTAAAAATAAGACTTCATATAAAGATCTGGATTTGGCGGCACCCCAGTCCGTCAAGCATCTGCCTTCAGCTCAGGTCATGATCCCAGAGTCCTGGGATCGAGCCCCGCCTCGGGCTCCCTGCTCAGCGGGAAGCCTGCTTCTCCCTCTGCCCCTCCCCCTGTTTGTGTTCCTCTCGCTTGCTCGCTCTCTCAAATAAATTCTTAAAAAAAGAAAAAAAAGAACCATTAAAAAAAA